CCACCCACCCACCCATCCATCCATCCATCCAGCCATCCATCCATCCATCCAGCCACCCACCCATCCAGCCACCCACCCACCCATCCATCCATCCATTTGTGTGTCTGTCTTACTTATCCCGCCCCCTGTCTACCCGTCTTTGCAGGTGTCTCTAATTAGGCCTTTTGTCGTTTCCATTCCTTCTTCCATATTTCTGCCTGTCTGCCTTACCCCTCTTTACTCAACTACCCCCCACCCCTTACACAAACGCATTTCATTTTAGTACCAGAAATGATGCGAAAGTTATTGTCTGTGTTTCGCTTTACTTATTCAGAAATAAAACGGCAATAACTTAAAATTAGGGGGACACCCCCCCCCTAAAAAATTTACCAAAACATTCTCTAAGCAAAATCAAAAGGAACAAACCCAACAATGAAAAGCTAGAAACAACAACAATAACAACAACAACAACAACAACAACAACAACAACAAAAAAGACCCATGACGCATTTCTTTTCTAATTTCAGTACCAGAAGTCGCCCTACCGTTAGTGTGTCTTTGTCCTTCATTTTCCTCACAACTAAAAGAAACAACTAAACAACAAACATTCAACAACAGAAAAACAAAACGCATTTTCATTTCAATTCCAGAAGTGGTGCCAAAGTGGCTGTATCGTTGTCCTTCGCTGTACTCACAACCCCCCCCCAAAACAAACAAACAACAAACAAACAAATTCAATGACAGCTGAGATAGCGAAACAACATCTGGTTCTCAAAGTGTCTGTTTGCGGAAGAGGCAAAGAGACAGAACGAGGGCTGTGAACGACGTATGAACACAACACTCTTTACAAAATTATCACTTCCGCGAACGAATTGCTAGGCAGTATTTCTTATTTTCCGGTTGTTGTGTTGTTTTTCTCCGTTTACTTCTTTTTATTTTGATTGTTTGCATAAGCATTTTCTACGTAATCGGTCTTGAAAGAATATTATTTGTTTAGGTGTTGTGTAGAACTGATAAGATATAAATACTTATGCTATCTTTGTCGCTAGAGGAAACCAGATCTTACTTGGTTTCTATATTGGTTATCATCTTTGTCGTCTTCACGTGGTTTTGGTTGTTGACGTTGTTACTCCTGCTACAGTTTCTGTTGACAACGATGATGATGATGATGATGATGATGATGATGATGATGATGATGATGATGAGGAGGAGGAGGAGGATAATGATGATAATGATGATGATGATGATAATGATGATGATGAGGAGGAGGAGGAGGAGGAG